GCACGCGACACAGCCCCTGACCCTCGCCCGACACGGCGCCATCGCCCGTGCGCGCAGGCCCCCTCATCCGCCTCCTCGACCTGCAAGCCGACGACGCGCGACGCGCAAGCTTCCGCGCGGAGCTGCCCTCCGCTGCCTCCTCCCTGTCCTCGCTGCCCATACCATCTCCGCAGCCTCCGCCGCCGATCGCCGCAGCGCCCTCCGCCGCTGCCGCCGCGCGGCACACCGCGCAGGCTGATGCGCCAGGCTCGCTGCGCTCCGAGCCCCTGCTTGCGGCGCCGCTTGCCGACGTCGAGGTTGGCTCCGGCGCTGCCAGCGGCGGCATCGGCCCGCCGGGTGGCGAGGGCGGCGGCAGCCCAGCATTGACGCAGCCGCTGCAGCTCGGTCGCTCGTCGACCGCAAAGGTGCAGCGGGAGGCGCGCGCACCCTCGGCCGTGCACAGGGCGTGGCGACGGCTCGATCAGGACGTGATGAAGCCGCTCTTCGGGGGCCGGCCCGACCGTGGAGGCGGAGAGGTGGAAGAGGGCGAGGAGGCCGAGGAGGGGCCGGGGCGAGGGCCGGGGTACGGTTCGGGATGAACTAACGTACTTTACCGTAGAGCCGTGCCGTCGGCCGCTTCGTTGTTCCGTCTTCATGTTGTACTTAAACATTGTACACTATTACACACGGCTCCGTGTTGACAAGGGAATGCGCCCACCATATCGCCTGGCCGACTGCTATCTGCTTTGAGTGTTCCTGGGGACAGAGGTGGACTGCGGGGTTGGAAGGGCAAAGTAGGGTATCCTCTCTCGTGTGCTCTCTCAGCAGTCTGGCAGAGTCTCTCTCTCGCAGCACGGTTCTTCGAGGAGGCCTCATCCTTGATGAGAACGTTCCCCAAAAAAAACGCGGCGTGTACCCGTAGCGGGCAAGGAGTCGGGCAAGGGCCCCCCACCACTCCGGGCGAGGCGCGAAAGCCGAGGTCGTGCTTGTGCTCGCGCAGCGCGCGGTACGCGAGCGCGACGTTGAGCATCGGCCCTGCGGGAGGCATGGACGCTCGCACTCAGACCGGCGCCGCCGGCGCAGCGACCGGTTCGCCGACGTTGGATGCGCGGATGGGCGCACTCCACGTGCAAGCGGACACCGTCTCGCGCAGCGTTTTTGATATCGTGGCGATGCTTGCTGAGCGGGAGTCGGCCCTCAAGGAGCAGAAGTCGGCCTTGGAGTCGGAGACTGGCAAGCAGGAGGCGGCGCTGCAGGCGTTGCACGACCGTTTGCGGCGAGAGTTGGCCAGCGAGCGCCAGGCGCTCGACGTCGAGAAGGCGTTTGTCGCCGCGGCCTCTTCTTCGCAGCTGGTCGTTCTCAGTGTGGGCGGTACAAAGTTCACGGCACGGCGCGACACGCTCGCGCGCGCGCCCGGCTTCTTTGGCGCGCTCTTCTCCGGCCGCCACACCGTGCCAGCTCAAGAGGATGGGTCTTACTTCATCGAGAGAGACCCGACGCATTTCAGCCTCATCCTGCGCTGGCTGTCGGACGGCCGCGACAACTTCTCCGCGCTCCCTCGTGCGACCAAGATCGCGCTCGCCGAGGAGGCCGACTACTACGCCCTCGACGACCTGCTCACGGCGATCAACGGCACCGACCACCTGCGGGCTCTCTCAGAAGGCGACGCGGCCATCCGGCGCGAGGAAAACCTGCGCCGCGCCGCCTTTGCACGCTGCGAATCGCTCGTCCGCGCGGCCAGCATCGCGCAGGCGGCCGCGACTCCGTTGCCCGAGGCTCCGCGCGACGATCTGGATGACGACGCGCCCATGCCTTCCTTCAGCGTCGGTGCTGCGGGTAGCGGCGGGCGCAGCCGTGGCGGCTCGCGGCGGCCGGGCCGCGAGCCCGTCACGCCCGTCAAGGCCGCCGCTCGGCCCTTCCTCACCCCGCTGACATCGCTCCGCTTGAGCGCAACGAGGAGGCGCGATGAGGCGAGCGAGTGGGCGGAGCGCGTACGCGAGGCGTGTAACCACATCCACAACGGCTTTTACGACTTTCGCGACGTGCTCGCCATCGCGGCGTCGACAGGTCCCATGGCGGGCTGCGTGCGCCTCGACATGGTCGATCGCCCCGACGTACCCGATCGACGTACCCCATGGCTTGGAGCCGTTGGCCAGCTGCTGCCCTTCCGCCGTGTGACGCACAGCCCCGCGGGCTACCCGCTGCTGTTTGAGCAGTTTGCGGCGCACCACAATGAGCTGGAGCCGTCGCAATGCGTGCTGGTGAGAACACTTGATGAGTGGAAGCTCGCCTTCTCGCGCCACAACCCAGACATCCTCGACCGCCTCGGCTCCGTCTCCTGTCCGGCGCGCTGCAAGTGGGTCATCGCGGGTGGCTCGGTGCTGCGTGCGCTGCTCCGCCGGCCGCCAGCCGCCGCCGCCTTTGACGACACCGACGTGGACATCTTCATTGTTGCCGAGGAGGCGGCCGACGCGACGCGCCTCGCGGAGAGCATCTGGTGCGCTCTCGCGGCGGACGGCGAGGAGTGGGTGCTCTCGCGCGGGCAATACGTCATCAACATGATTCGCTCCGGAGGCGAGCTGGCGTCTGCAGCTCAGCCGCCAGTGCAGATCGTGCTCCGCCTCTACGAGTCGCCGTCCGAGGTGCTGCACGGCTTTGACGTCGACCCGTGCGCGGTCGCCTTTGACGGCGAGGGGCTGCACGCGCTGCCGCGCGCCATCGAGGCGCTTCGCACCGGCTACGGCGTACTGAATCCGCTGCACGCGTGGCCAACTGAGCCCACGTACGAGCTGCGTCTGGCCAAGTATGCAGGGCGAGGCTTCGCCGTCGCCGTGCCCGGACTGCAGTGGCATCTCGTCGATCGCAAGGCGGTCAATGCCGCGCTGGTGGACCTGAAGGGGCTCTCGCGCTTGCTGCTCCTCGATGCGGAGCGCTCACGGGCGCTGCACCAGCTCAGAGCGCTCAACACGCCGCTGCCGTCACTCAAGCACGTCTTCGGCCGCGTGCGCTTCTTCTCCAACTATGGGGCCCACACACGCTCTCGCGAGCTGCCGACGCAGTACCACGACGCTCGTCACCTCACCAACATCAGCTGGGACAACTACATGACGGACCCGGGCGACGCGACTGCAAACGCGCCCGACGCGTCGGCGTGGTGGCTCGTGGTCCCGTGCCACCAGCTGGAAAGCGAGGAGGTGATGAACGCCGACGCGCGCGCCGAGCATTGGGCAATCATCCTCGACGCGGACCGCGAGAATCTCCGCATCCCGCGCGAGCTTGAGTGGTCTACGACGCCGCGCACGCGCGAGTACCTGAATGCAGGCGAGGTGGGGCTCGAGCAGCGCTACTTTGCGTCCGTGTACTCGAGGCGGCGCTCGAGCGGGGCGCGACGCGGACGGGATTCTCTGTGAGTGGAGAGCGGCAGCGGCCTGAGTACAGTGCCGACACGCGAGAGCCGAGAGAAAAGTACGTGAGAGCTGTTTGTGCCGCTCGCCTTACCTGCGCGGTACGGGTAAGCGACAGGGTGTGAGCAATGCGTCCCTCGATTTCCGTCCAACCCACAGCGCCACCCAAAAGGAGCCGGCACCAACTTGATTCGTAGATCGGCGTCTCAGCTCTCACGGCCGGGGGCCGCGGGACGGGGAGGGTGGAGGGAGGGGGGTCGATCCGTAAATCCGTAAATCCGTAAATTTGTAACCAAAAGCCACCAGGAGTCCCCCACCACACCCATCCACCAGGCAGATAGAGACACAGCACTCGCGACACGCTGAGAAGCCGGAGGCTGGCCTCTCCAAGAACGCTCGCGCAACGCTGTTGCTCTGCACGCGCAGCAGGCCAGCAGCTCTGGCAGTCCCTCTGGGGTCCGGGCGGCCCAGGCTCACAGTGGGAGGGTCAACGACCGCAAAGCTCCGTATGTGTTTCTTAACAATCACTATATTCGTGCTTGCCGAGCTGCGCCTCTGCGACTATCAACCCCTCACGCGTGTGCATAATCCCCTCCATCTTGTTGTGCAGCGCCTTGACCTCTCCGCCTCGCTGCGGCATCAGCGCGCCTCGCCTCTGCCTCCATCGAAATCTGCAGCGCGTCGAGCTGCTCGCGCAGCTCAGCCTGCATCTTGGCACGCATCTCGCCGATACGCCACTCGCGCTCAGTTCGAGCTGCGTGTTTTACCTCGTCGGCCATCCGCTCGGCCGCTTTGATGTCGCGTTTAACAGCCAGCTGCGCTGTCCTCAGGTTGTCGCTGTCGGAGCGCCTCAGCTCTTGTGCCGCAGCAAGCTCATCCCGCGCCGACGCGAGCGCCCTCTTCACAGCGCTCGCAGAGCGCTGCTCAGAAGCTCCTTAACCGTGACCGCAACTTCTCTTCCAACTCCTGCCGAAGCAGCATCTCAGCACTCGCGGCTGCATGGATGTCCGAGCCCCTTAGCGTGGTTTGCGTGTCTGTGCTGACGAGAGTGCGGGAGAAGCTGCCCTTGTGCTGCACAGAGATTACGCCAGCGGTAGCAGTGCTGCTTGGGGACACAACAACATTGCTCGTGGCTGAGCTGGCATAAGCCGCTGCACGCCACCAGCCTCTGCGGCTGCAGCGGTGCTTCGGATCGCGTCGAGCACCGCGCCTGTATCGTGCAAGAGCACAGCCTCGAACGTACTGAGGTCGGCTATCCCGAGTTCGTTGAGCAGACCCTCCAGCACAATGCTGAGATCGTCCGTGCCATGTGTCGCGTGTCCAACCAAGGGAACGGACGTCGCCGAAAGTGATCTGTGATCTGTAAGGGTCCGCCCGCAGGCGCATTTTGTATACTCGTACCGAGGCGGTGCCCGGTGCCGAGCGCAGGCAGAGCCCACAGGTCGGACAGTCCTCAGTCACGCCTGTGTCGCCTGCCGCAAGCTGGGGCACGCTCCGAGGCGGCTGGAGCCGCTTCACGCTCAATTTGGGCGCTTTTTACGCGATTTTACGGAGTTTTGGATTGGAGGGGGGTGGCGGTCCATAGGAGGAGGGGGAGACGCCGATCTACGAATCAAGTTGGTGCCGGGAGGCGGACAGCCATGGAGGTCACCGAATGGAGGGCGAACGGCACGATACGAAAAGGCAGGGCGAGGCGGATGGAGAAAGAAGTGCCGAGGAGGCCATGGTGGAGGGGAGGGACGGGAGGACGAAAGAAGGGCGAGGAGGACGAGCGGCCCGCACAGGCCGCGAGCAGACAGCGCCTGCTGGCCATTTCGAGACATTCGCAAAGAACGCTAGCTACATGGGAGGGCTTCGTGAAGGATGGATTGAAAAACATTCGAACAAAGAAGAGCAAGAGGCGACGGGAGGAACCGGCAGAGGATGCAGTGACGTGACACACACACACACACACACACACACACACACACACACACACACACACACACACGCGCGCGCGCGCGCACACACACACACACACACACACACACACACACACACACACACACACACACACACCACACACACAGACACAGACACAGACACACACCGCTCACCCACGCGCACCGGGCCTTGCACTTTGAATGCCGTGGGGCTCCTGTCGTTAGACGTGGAGACGCGAGGGATGCCCCCCCTTGCCCCACCACCTCGTGTGTGTGGAGAAGTTTACCTTACCTTACCTTACACCGCTCAAGTACACATGCAACGACGCGCGGTGTGCGCACGCAGCACCCTCTTCGTCTCCCCTCTGCCTCAACCCTTCCCAATCTAGGACCCCAGCGCTGCCGCCCGCCAGCTGGCCGGCGCGCGCGAGAGAGACGCCTCGCAGGCAACTACGGCCACGGCGCCTCCGCTGTGCTCATCCCCCTCCCTAACTCCTTCCCCCAAACTACGCCTCTCCGCTCCAGAGAAGGAAGGCGCGCCGCGCAGCACACCGCTGCGCGAAGGCCCCCATCACTGGACCCCGTCCCGTGGGGATCGCCGACGCGGCAAACGCCTCCCACCCCTCCTCCCCGGCGGGTCGCTGGCGCCCCTGCTCATGCTCATGTGAATTGCTCAAGATGGCGTCTGTGTGCTGTGGCGTCTGCCGTGAGTGCGGCCGCCGAAGTCAGACATGCTCCTGCGCCGCCTCCGCCGAGGCCGCCGGCTCCACCGAGTCCACCGAGACCGTCGCCTCGCCTCCAGTGCCGTCGCCCGCGGTGGTTGCCGTCGCAGAGCTGCGGCGGCTGATCTTGAGGACGAGGCTGCTGCTACGCTCGGCGATGCTGGCCGAGAGGCGGCTCACGCTTGCGACGCTGCCCGACCGAGCGGGAGTCGCGCCGAGGTCCTTTGCCAGAAGCGCGAGCGACACCTGCAGAACGAACGCCCTGGCTGGTGAGTCCCGCTGGTGCGCAAGGCGAGATGTGGAGAGAGACAAAGCGCGCGCCGGGTGGTGACGCCCCGGGAAGCACGGGCGCGCCAGGTCCTTGTAGAGTCCGTCGGCGATGAGCTCCTGAAGGGCACGCGTATGGGGGGGGGGGCGATTAAGCGCCTAGATCGAGTGCATCATGACCAACAACCCCCCAGCCCGCTCCTGCGGCGTGGTTTCGAAAAACTTCGAGAACTGGCAGCCGCCGAGGTCCGGGTCGTTCTCGTGCGCCATGACGATCTTCAGCTTGTCCTCCCGCGCCTGCTTGACCTGCTCGGCCAGCCGCTCGTCGCTGAAGCTGTCCTCGTTGAGGTAGAGCAGCATGTGCGTCGCTGGCCCGGGCGCCTCGGCGGTGGAGACGGTGAGACCGGCAAAAGTGGTGGCGATCTCGTCGGCCAACACCTGTGCGCCCGCGTTGGCCGGCGAGGCCCAGAGCATGGTCTCCTTGGCAAAGGCGAGCGGCTGGCTCTCGGGCTCGCCCGGCACGCAGAGCGGGAGGGAGGTCTGGTTCAGGTAGTTGGGCGAGCAGAGGAGCACCGCCTGTGGTTCAAGGGTGCCGGGGCTGAGGTCTCGGGAGGGGCGAGAGGACTGCGGCTGTGTCCCGCTGCGCCTCGACGATGGTCTTGAGCGAGACGCGCTGGAACTCCTCAACGCGCATGTAGGTGGTGTGCGCCCAGCCCTTTTCAAAGATGTCCTGCTGCAGGTCCTCGGGGCATTCGCCGCGCAGCGCCTGCAGCGTCGCGCCGCCCTTTGCAGGGTCGGCCTCTTGGACGAGGACGATCGGCTTGCTCTGCTCGAGCGACGAGCGGATCTCGCGGAGGCAGTTCTGGTGGCACGCAAGCAGGCGGGCGGTGAGCCGTGGGGAGTGTCGAGGGGCGCAGCAGACTCGGGTGCGGCGTTGAGAGCCAGACGATCCCGAGCGCGGGATAGGGCGGCGAGAGCGCGCCTTGGAGCGGAAGTAGCCACACGAGAGGAAGAAGAGGATGACCTGCGAGCGCTGGATGTACTCCTCCAGCGACCCAATATCCTTTAGATCATCCACCTGTGCGCACTCCGCGGTGCGTCAGAAGGGCTGTGTGTAGCTAAAGCAGCGCGGCTGAGCCTGTGCGCGCGTCGAGAAAGATCTTGAGGCCCGGCACCAGAAGCTGGAGCTCGCTCTTGATGTTTCCGACGGCGTCTTGACCGGTCGACCTGCGTTAGGGGGTTGGAGTTGGATGCGGCCTGGCTTGATCACCCTCCCTAGCTGCGCAACGCACCAGATGTGCGAGAGGAACAGGTGCCATGTGAGGCCGGTCCCGATGCTCAGCTCGGGGGGCTGCTTGGTCGAGACGAGACGCACTGTGGGGACCTTGGCGACGCGGCGGGCGGCAACGACGGCACCGATTAAGAAGACCACGAGCGCAAAAACGACGAGGCTGATCATCGTGTCCACGATCGCATTGAGCTTGCCAAAGCCGAGGACATCGGCGGGGTCGGCTTCCTGGTACCGCTCCTCGATGCCGAGGAAGATGGTGGTCCAGTTGGTGCCGAGGAAGAGGAGGAGGAGCGCGAGGCTCGTGGCGACGGCTAGCACGTTGTCCTCGACCCGCTTGTACGGCCGCACGGCGGAAAGTATGAAGCCGTAGCACGAGCAGACGAGGGTCGCCACCACGAGGCGAAGGAATGCGTTCTTCTCGGGGATCAGCAGCACGAAGCCCGTGAGCACGAGCTTGCGCGCCAGCTCGACCGCCTCCCACCAGTACCAGGTCTTCTCGTACTCCCGGTGCAGGAAGGCGGTGGCTCGCGTAAGAGCATTCGGCGACTTGGCCTGCAGCGGCTTGTAGCAGGCGGCGAGGAGCGACGTGAAGAGGACCAGCGAGCCGACCGGCCAGACGACGATGAAGCCGACGGCGACGTCGGTGATGGACTCGTGATCCTCGGTGCCGCACTCGACGCTCGCGTCCTGCCGCATGTAGGAGACCTGCTCCAGGGGCTCGTTTGGCGGAGAGATGGTGTACGCCTATCAGCAGCACATTGCCTGAGGGGCGGCGTGAGCAACGGCAGTCATCGGCTGGAGGCGCCTGACACGACCACGAGCGGAAGATGGAGGCGCTGATGGAGGGCACGAAGCAGAAAATGAGCACCAAGCCGGCGGGCGTGAGGTCGAGGAGGCCGAGGGCCGCCTCCGCCCACAGCTTTGGGCGCGGTGACGCGGTTCGCCAGACGTGGAGCCGCAGGGCGATTCCCGTTCCCATGAGCAGGGCGATGAGGACGACGGGGGAGAGAGCGCTGACGACGAGCCGCTCACCGTAGCCGAGGCACTGCTCCGGCAGAATGAAGCCCGACCAGTCGATGGAGATCGCATTGGCCAGCTTGTCGGTCCAGCCCGTGTACTTGTCCGGCAGCCGCGCCGAGTAGGTGGACGACAAGACGGTGCTGATCTGGTAGAAGCCAAACAGGATCTTGACCTTGGCCGTCATTCCGCCCTCGACGTAGTACTTGACGGAGCGGTCTGCAAAGCGGAGGATTGGGCCGATGAAGCGCTTCTCCCGCCAGTCCGTCATGCTGTAGGCCCACGCCGCCAGGCCGCATGCGACGCAGAGGCCGAGGACGATGCCGACGATGCCACCCGCCGCCGCGCCGCGCGGAGCGCACTCTTTGCACTCGTCGCCGTCGACGAGGTAGTGATTCTCCGCGGCGCAGAGCTGGCACTCGGGGCCGGTGAAGCCAGGGGCGCAGTACTCGTCCGAGCCCGCCTCCTCCAAAAGGCGAGACGCCTCTTTGGCTCCGCGCTCGTTGCCGGCGCACCGCGCCTCGCCGGCCCTGTCGCCCCCAAAGTCGCGGCACGCCGTCAGCACGGCGGAGGAGGGGCTGGCGCGCCAGTAGCCGGCTGGGACGCCGATGGTCGCGAGAGTGGTGTCGTCCGAGCACTCTGCGTTTGGCGGGCAAGGCTTGCAGTAGTCGGTCGGGGAGGAGAAGATGTCGGCCGGGTCGGCGCTCTGGAGCAGGTAGAAGTCCTTCTGGCAGACGGAGCAGATGACGGCGCCGCGCTCACTACTGAGGGGATGAGGACAAGGGACGCACTGGCCCTGGCCGGGGTTGGCGGCGTACGTGCCTGCGACACACTCGCTGCAGGCGCTGCTGCCGACGCCAGAGGTGGTGCCGGGCTCACAGCGCTCGCACTTGGAGAGGCCAGGCGTGGCGGTAACGGACCCCGGCGAGCACTCGGCCGGCGGCGCCGCGCCGCCGCCGCACGACGAGCCCGCCGGGCAGTCGAAGCAGTCGGGCAAGCCGTCGCTGTCCGTGACGTCGACGTATGTACCCGGCTCGCACGGCGCAGGCAGCTCGAGCGATGCGCCGACTGGACAGAAGCTGCCAAGCCCGCATGCGACGCAGCTGGCAGCGCCGGTGGCGTTCTGGTAGGATCCCGCCTTGCACGGCTCGCACTCGGCGTTGCGAGAGCCGGCGGCGAAGGTGCCGGCGCGGCAGGCCATGGGAGCCACGCTGCCAGTGGTGCAAGCGTGGCCCTCTGGGCAGCCCTCGCAGCCGCCCGCCGAGTCAAGGTTCGTCTTGTCCGAGTAGCTGCCGGCCTCACACGGCAGAGGCGCCGACGCGCCCTTGGGGCAATAGCTGCCTTTCTTGCAGTCGCGGCAGCCCGTCGCGCCCATGTCGTTCTGGTAGGAGCCGGCAAAGCATCGCTCGCACTTGGAGAGGCCAGCCGTGGCGGCGTAGCTGCCCTTGGCACACGGCGTCTGCTGCGTGGCGCCCGTGGTGGCGAAGTGGCCCGGATCGGCGTCGGTGCACTCGCTCGCGCCGGTCGCGCCCTGGTAGGAGCCCTCGGCGCACAGCTCGCAGACCTCGTTGCGCGTGCCGCTGGCGAAGCTGCCCTCGCCGCACGCCGTCTGCTCGGTGGCGCCCCGGGCGGCGATGTGGCCCGGATCGGCGGGCGCGCACTGCGACGCGGCCGACAAGTCCGTCTTGTCCGAGTAGGAACCGCCCTCGCACGGCAGCGGCCTCGACGCGCCCGGCTCGCAGTAGCTGCCCATGTCGCAGGCGAGGCAGGACGTCGCGCCCGTGCCGTTCTGGTAGGTTCCGCCAGCGCAAGGCTCGCACTTGGAGAGGCCAGCCGTGGCGGCGTAGCTGCCCTTGGCACACGGCGTCTGCTGCGTGGCGCCCGTGGTGGCGAAGTGGCCCGGATCGGCGTCGGTGCACTCGCTCGCGCCGGTCGCGCCCTGGTAGGAGCCCTCGGCGCACAGCTCGCAGACCTCGTTGCGCGTGCCGCTGGCGAAGCTGCCCTCGCCGCACGCCGTCTGCTCGGTGGCGCCCCGGGCGGCGATGTGGCCCGGATCGGCGGGCGCGCACTGCGACGCGGCCGACAAGTCCGTCTTGTCCGAGTAGGAACCGCCCTCGCACGGCAGCGGCCTCGACGCGCCCGGCTCGCAGTAGCTGCCCATGTCGCAGGCGAGGCAGGACGTCGCGCCCGTGCCGTTCTGAAAGGTCCCGCCGCCGCAGCTGGCGCACTCGGAGAGGCCTGCCGTGGCGGCGACAGTGCCGGGTCGGCACGGCGCGCACACGTCGCGGCTGACCGCCCCGGGCGCCGCGCTCGAGGTGCCGGCGGGGCACAGCTCGCACGCTGCGCTCGAGCTGGAGCCTCTCTTCGGGTTGAAGGTTCCCGCAGGGCAAGGCTGCCAGACAAGGCGCGAGGCGGCGCCCGCGTCCTCGCAGACGCCGCCCTTCGGGCAGGCTTCGCAGGCGGCGCTGCCGACGTCGGGGGAGAAATAGCCCGCGGCGCAAGGCAAGCACTCCTCCTGGCCGCTCTCTGGCTGGTGTTGGCCGGGGGCGCAGAGGAAGCAGTCCGACATCTTCGCCGCCCGCTCGTTGGGCATGTGGGTGCCGGCGGGGCACTTCTGTGGGAGGATGGATCCCTTCGGGCAGAAGTGGCCGGACCAGCAGGGGCCGCTGCAGTCGGAGGTGAAGTGGTCCGACGCGTTCCCGTAGTGACCCTCGGCGCAGAGCCTGTTGCAGCCGGGCAGGTCGCCGATGATCTGGCCGACGTTCGGCATCCAAGATCCGAGCGGGCAGTCCCACGTTAGAGGCGAGGCGGCGAGGATTGTGATGTTGCCTGGCGCAGAGTTGCCGGAGAAGGTCGTGTTGCGGAGGATCGAACCGGAGGCAGCGATGCGGGAGGCGAAGAAGAGTGCAGCGGGGGATGCCTCCGCCGTGTTGTCGACAAACTGCAAGTTGGTGAGAGCTAGGCGCTCGATGCCATTGAGATAAAGAGCCTAAAAAAGAACACAGTCTGGTCTCCCGTTTCAGTCTGTGCACCCTCTTGTGGAGGGGGCGCGCGGCACCGCTTGTGAGCCACTCGTCCTGTCGACAAACTGCGAGTTGGCGAGAGCTAGGCGCTCGACGGCATCGATGTAAAGAGCCTACAAAAAGAGCACAGTCTGGTCTCCCGTTTCAGTCTGTGCACCCTCTTGTGGAGGGGGCGCGCCGCACCGCTTGAACGCCACTCGTGCAACGGACAAAGCTGGCCCCCTCGAGCGCGACGTCGCCACTGTTCCGCACGTACATACCTCCTCCTGCGAACTGCGCAAGTTGGGGCGGGCAGGCATGAGCGGGGAGGGCGTCAGCGAGCGAGAGAGGGCGGGCAAGCCCAGAGCGGCCCTTTTGGGGAAGGCGTCCCCCGTTTGCCACCCCATGTCCCTCTGCCTTCTTCTCCCGCTTCCGGCGCGGCGATGGCGTGCTTGCGTGCGTGTGCGGGGGAGGCAAGCGTGTGCGGGCGTGGGAGACGCACAATGCCAGCCGTGCACTCGCTGAAGCTGGCGCCCTCCAGCGAGACGTCGCCGCTGTTGACCACGTCCATACCTCCTCCGTACTGCGCGAGTTGGGGCGGGAAGGCATGAGCGGGGAGGGCGTCAGAGAGCGAGAGAGGGCGGGCAAGCCCAGAGCGGCCCTTTGGGGATAGCGTGCCCCCCTTCGCCACCCCATGTCCTTGTGCCTTCTTCTGCTTCCGGCGCGGCGATGGCGTGCGAGCGTGCGTGTGCGGGGGAGGCGAGCGTGTGCGGGCGTGGGAGCACACCTCGGCAGCCGTGCACTCGCTGAAGCTGGCGCCGTCCAGCGAGACGTCGCCGCTGCTCTCCACGCACATACCTCCTCCGTCCTGCGCGAGTTGGGGCGGGCAGGCATGAGCGGGGAGGGCGTCAGCGAGCGAGAGAGGGCGGGCAGGGCCCAGAGCGGCCCTTTTGGGGAAGGCGTCCCCCGTTTGCCACCCCATGTCCCTCTGCCTTCTTCTCCCGCTTCCGGCGCGGCGATGGCGTGCGAGCGTGCGTGTGCGGGGGAGGCGAGCGTGTGCGGGCGTGGGAGACGCACAATGCCAGCCGTGCACTCGCTGAAGCTGGCGCCGTGCAGCGAGACGTCACCGCTGACCCACACGTACATACCCCCTCCGTGCTGCGCGAGGGCGACA